TGCGGGCCAAAGGATTTTTAGCTAGTTCAAATAAATAGCAACCAGGAATTCGTAGAGAGGCAATAAGCTTTTATTGACAGCGCACAACAACAACCAGTCGCGAGTGCTCGGGCACGAATGCTGACGAGAGCAGAGAGACACACAGGGTTAAAGAACCGCAGTGGACCGAAGAAATAATACACACACACGCACGTATTCCCGCAGGAGGGCAGCAATGCCCTCCATTGCTAGATTCGTGACGACGCACAGTTTATGGAAGCCCTTTTTTAGAAAGGAAGCGGTAGCAAGAGAAACACATAAGAAATACCGGGGGAGCCTGCATACGCAGCTCTACCCATAAAAAATACTTTGGGATCACAAGATTTAAATATTTGAACGCAAAAGCGTCCTCAATTTCCCGATGCGGAACGATTGACGCATCGCCCTTTATCGAAGAAATAATCCCCAAAAATTCATATTTGCTGACTGCTGATTGACTGGACTTACAAAGAATATTCGGCTGTTCTTAAATTTTTTTTCACACATTATGACAGTTCAAATTCTTAAGTGAGCAATGTTTGAAATCTATCGAAGAAAAGATCATCGCACGGTAAATTTGACTTTTGAAAGTGTCTCAAGCACAGCATGCGCACGTCTTTGGATGGAGGAGAAGTTGCTTGAAAATTCAAATTCAGGTTTAATCGATATTTTTCAATTGCTTGTCGAAAGGATCTATAATCATTTATGATTCATATTTGATGGATTATTCATTCTTTCAAAACAATTTTTACCTGGATTGCTTGAAATCAGCTTCCTGACCTTTTCCATCAACCTTTCGCTTTCCGAAGTAGTACGTGCCGTCTATAAAATCTTCTAGTGCGAATGTGTATTATGTTCCGTTACTTGATTTTGTTATAAATATATATAATCGCCTCATTATTCCAAGGCGCAAGGGAAACCTGCATATAGTTCATGAATGAGTGAAAGTCGCTCAATCTTATGCACGGAAAAAATCCTGCCGGTCGAGAATCTCGAGACAAAAGCGCGCGAAATAATTCAGACTTGTCAACTGCTCGCGCAGGAAAAGGCTTCCGCGTATCATCCGCTGAAATATTTCCTTTCTCGTTGTTATTTCCGACCTAGTCTGAGAAATCATATTGCGCAAACGCGTCACCGGAATAAAATACACATTTGGGAATAACTTACGTTGAATATAAAAAATTTGCAGCTTGCTAGCACATGGAGCCAAGTGCCAGGTGCCAGATCACTGGGGCAACACGGCGCTGCACGAGGCCGCGTGGAACGGGGAAATCGAATGTTGCCTGGCGCTGCTGGCCGCTGGGGCAGATCTCACCAAACCTGGCAATGAGCGAAAAACGGCAGCTGATCTTGCCGACGATGATAACTACTTTGAATGTTCTTCGTTGCTGGTGAGTTAATTAGTTTCCGCTTGAATGCTGACGCTTTAACTACCTTATGGCCCCGAGGGCGAGTTCGAGTGTAACGAGCTCCGCTCGAGGTGGTCTGAATAAGCTAAAAACAGTAGAACTCCGGTTATTCGGGTTCATAATAATCGAGCATTTGAAAAACTCTTCCCAAAATTTTTTACATTCAGAAGGTACTAAGCGGCTAAGCCTATTACCTGTATCCCTTTTTTTCTAAAATCCGAGTGAATTCGATGGAAGATTTTTGGAACACCCAATGCTGATACGTCAGGTTATACTTGAATTCATACCTTAGATAATATTAATACAATTCCCTTATTTCGGATTTTCCGGGTTATTCAAATATCAGGAAAGAAGAATAAAATCGAACGGAAATCTCCAGCAGTAAGTTGTTTTTGCATGTTAAAATCACAAAAAAATCGTCGTATTCAACCAATAATCGGACAGGCGAAAGCTAAATACTCCATCACTTGTAGCTTTAATATTTTGAAATGAATAATTCCATTTCGAGGCATCGATAATGTTTTTCATCTGCCTCGTGTAGTCTCAAGTCAAATCGATGAAGAATACAGTGTTCTTGTGAGTTTAAAAAATGTTTCGACTGCTCAACAGCAAATCAGCAATTTAGTGAGGCTTATGCGGATTAAAAAATTCCACCGATCATTCAAGTGAATGTGTTCTTGAAATAGTGCACAAATCAATCTGTGGCGAACATTATCAACTCTAACTGATTGCTGAAATTTTAATAATATGTTTAATTTTTGAAAGACTTTTATTCAATCAGGCTGACGGTAAAAATGCTGCAAAGCCAATTCAAATGCAGTACTCGAGAAAAGAGGTTCTGATGTGGATGATTTGGTTTTAAGAATATTGTAAACTCTTTTTTTTCAATTTGAATATTTGGTCTCTATCTTGCTTGGATACACTGGTAATTTTCAGTTTCCTCGCCTTGATGATGAACATCTGTCTGTCATGAAAGGTGTCCACGCAAGGAGTCGTATCAACTGAAGAATCATTATTAGGCTAAGGTTTGGTATCATTTTTTCATTTTCATCAGAGGAATCTTGAGGGCTGCTGGAACACAGCTTTGGTCGCCCAACTGATGTTGGACGTTCGCCAGATGTCTAAGCGAGAAAGCCGCATTGCAACTCATATGCAAGATCACGCCGAAAGGTTTCAAGAGCTGGAAAAGAATATTCTTCGTGTCGTCAAGGATGAGGAAAGGTTCGATCGTCGATCCTAAATTTACTATTACAGTATAACAACTCTGTTCCTGATCAGTACCATGCTTCTCCAGAAATAAACTCCAACTGACTTAAATACAAGTACAATGTGACATTGTAATTAAACTGCTCCAAATCCAGAAAATTAGCAACAACAATTCATCTGTTTGTTTTTCAATCGCATCATTCTCGTGATCCTCCTCATATCAAATAATATTGCTGTGCCCTTACGATTGTCTTCATGCAACTTTCAGCCATCTTATGCAGGAGAATCATACTTCCCACTTTCAAAAGTGCAATTGAACAATTCCAATTCATGTTGATCTTATTTATGAAAAAATGAGACTTAACTATCTGATAGTAATAGCTATTGTCGATTTTGAGGACAATTTAAAAATATGTAACTCACGGAGGTTGATTTATCAACATTGTATCAACGACTAATTAGATTGAGTTTTGTTAGCGTAAAGAAATACAGTAGTCGTATTTCCAGAAGAGACCGATTACCTTTAAAATTAAACTTTCCATTCTTAACCTCATCCGGGAAGATTTTTTTTCCTTGACATGCAAGTCATTGTAATAGCCCTCTTCATTTCATCGCGGTCGTATTTTATGTTGCCACGAACAGGAAGCATGTTGTGACTGTTGAAGCAGAAGTGAAAGAAATCCAGAACTCCACCAACAACCTGATCCGAGGGATTGAGAAGAAAATCATCCGTAACGAGGATAAACAGACGAGCATGCTGAGTCGAATTTCGGCGTTGGACACCGAAGTCGCGTTGAATTCGGACCACATCCAACATCTACGTCGAGTGTTGGAACAAAGCTCAAGCTCTCAGTCCGAGTCCACCATACTGGCTTCCTTGTCGGAGCTACAAATAAAGTTTAGTGCCATGATGGAGACCCTGGGGGACAAGTTGTCCAATCTGGAGAAGAAGATACAAGCTGTCGAGAACTCCGTTTCTAGAGGGGATCAACTCCCTATTTCCCGAGAGGACCTTGACGACCTGGAGCTTGTCGGACGGAAGAAGAAGCCGAAACGCAAAAGTGGCCCTGTTCCTCCGCCCTCGAGCTCTCATGATGACGAAGGCTCCAACTTAGTCGAGGTAAATCATCTTATGCCCATTGGCAGAGTGACTCATACTCTCATCAAGCACCAGGATCCGGTCATTACCGTCATCTTCGTTCATCCGCAAATGCTCGTGCTCGTATTTCTCACGAGCTCTCATTTATTCATTGTTGAGCCCGTTGAACGGGATTTTTCTACATCATTAGGATCAGAAAACGAAGAACCAATCAACGATAAAAATTATCACAAAAATAATCTTAATTCTTCCAGGCTTGACTATTCCCTGTATTTACATTATACAGTACTGTCAAATTACTCCCGTTTAAACATGCGACAGTAATGCAAAAAAAATCCTTCGAGAAAATGTCTGCATTGCCCCGCATTATTCCTTTTTTAATGCACTGTACCAGTAGCAGCAATGAAAATTGCAGAAATTATTGCAGAACGTCTGCTGAGATTGTACGCCAGCGTCATTGCTTGCGACTTTAAAAACGTGTGAAACCAAAATAACACTTGTTTAAATTCCTTCAAGCCTTCCTAGGACTATAGGTAGACGCATGAGTACTTTTTCCCGGAGCTATTTTTGTATGCCGAGCTAACCATGGCAATGCAACTACGGTAGTCCCGTAAAACGTGCTATCATCCCAAAGAAAAGTATACAGTGAAGGTAACTCTTCAGCATTATACCTTCAATTGTTGATAATATAAAGAAACTTGGAAATCAGAAGCCTTCGAGCGGTGGCATCATTTGAATTTATGGTGTTTCTAATTTTCAAACTGTGAATCCCTACACTTCGTCACGAACAAAATGCTCGTAAGCGGAGTTCTGTACATTTTTCAACGAAATTCATTTTAGAATCTATTTTGGCGAATAATATTCGAAGAGATCCAGGCTTAATAGATTAAATGGGTTTTCCCCCCTTTTTAACGCACTACAATAGAGCCAACTGGCTTTTATGAAGAAAAGGGTCTGCTGTTCAAGTCCTGCTCTTAAAATATTATCAGAACAGTACTGTACTACTGTATTGTACATGGATGAGCGCTAAAAGGTTTCCTAAGCTTTCTAATCCTCAATTAAATACTTGATCCGAGTAACATGTTCAAATGTTGGACTTGAAATATAATGTTTTCTTGCATATTGGACATGTGCTGTGCGTATCGGTCACATAATTTATTTTATAGAAACAGAATCACCGAAAAATTGAATTTGTTTTAGAAAAATGTTATTTATACTCAAAAAACCGTTACGATTTGACGAAAAAACTTGACCGATACGAGAAAGTCAAGAAAAAAATTGATTCCAAAGCATCACCACTGACTTGAAACATCCTCCACATTATACAGTACTGTAGTTATGGTGGGAAATGATACACGTCAGAGTATTATTTTGAGACATTCACAGATGAGTTTACCAGTACAAATCATATGCCTAGGACTCTGGCTTGGTCTGTATTAATCACAAGCATGGACCATTCGCAACTTTTCAGGAGATTTTTTTGCTCTTGGAGGTTGGAAGAAAGGGTGAAGTAAATGTGACGCCCGAAGAGGCGACACGCTCGTAATATTTATTCCGAGAAAAAATGGCTGCCTGAATGGAACATTTTTACAGCACCTCTAAAACGCTTTCCCTTCATGGCAGGTGGCCGAGTCAAGAGCTTTGGAAACCTCGCCGAAGTTCCTGTCCAGCCACGACCTGAGCCCTTGTCAGATGAATTACCCGTTCCCGACGCCGGGATCGTCGGTGTCGGCCGACACCCCGTCCCCTGGGCCCGCGGATCACGATCTCGACACATCCGTCATGCTCAAGTCTCGGTCGACGACAAAGGAAGTGATCAAGTCCCCGGGCAAAGACAACGTCGCCGCGCAAGAGTTCAAAGAGTTTCATTTGGAATTCCTCCGCTCCACTGCAAATGAAAAGTTTTCCGAGTAAGCCGTAATTTTATTTACCTGTGTACCACATCAGGCACCCCTCTATTTAAAATGTGACAAGGAAGAAGCGGCTGTGCAGTTTATCTAAAAACAGAATTTCACAATCTGTGTTTGAGAAATATCCCCTACTTCCGTTGTGAAAGTCGTGGTGTGCGTCTCACACACGGGCCTGTGATACAAAATAATCCTGATAGATTTATTTTGGTAATATGTGCCCTCTTTCTAAAAATATACTTTAAAAAATGTGTGCGCGTGTCACACACAATCAATGCCTTCCAATTCGAAATTGTCATACATTTAAAAATCATTATTGTTGTCTTATGTAGAATATGTGATTCAGAGAAACATGGCGTTTACGTAGTTTGCCTATTGTTGAGATGCGAATGCTCCAGCTATATTATTCGAAATCACATAACTTTCATTTTTATTTTGTACTTTTCGAACATATCAAACAGCGTGCCTTGCATTTGATGATCGATGACTACTCGAAGAGTTGTTATAATGGTTGCAATGCGATTTTAGTCAAAGAAATTTTGATTGAGAAAGACTAATAATTTAACGTTCTATCACTTAACTTACTATATAAACTTCATGGGAATTCTTAGCTATTTAAAAAAAAAGCACGCAGAATTTCTAATCATGTTTGTTCTACTGTGAACCAGCATTGTGTTGAATTCATGGATTACGTGATCTGATATAATTCATTATTTGGACCTTGGGTAAGATATTTTTGTTGATAATCTTGTATCAACGTATAGTTTTTGTTCTTCAAGTGTACTCTCCGAGGAAAAATTTTGTGAGAAAATTATTTGTCCACACTCCACAGTTACACGGACAGAATCTTGTAAGAAGGATCAAGTACCGTAATTATGTGTACTCCTGTACGAGGCGCTTGTTTAAAATGCGTACGCTGGTTAAAGAGATTATATTTTGGAGAAATGTTCTCGAATAAAGCGTGCACCGTGACTTTTTATTAGGGACAATTTTAATGCTGGTCAGACATGAGCACGAAGTCGGATTCATGAAGTTTTTTTGTTATCTTATTTAAAATTAAAGTTTTGAGTGAAAAGCGCATCCAACTTTTTTGGTCTCAGAATCTCACGGGTACCCAGCTTTTTCATGGGCATTTGGAGGGAGGAGGAGGGGTACAGGAATCAATACGGTATTCCGTGCGTTGAAAATCGCGAACCTCTGCCCTCTTTTGGTACGATGAGCATCTTTCTTAGCAAGGGGATGATTTCGGTTTCCAGGGCAATCGGAGACTGTGTGCAGACAGTGGCGAAGTTGAAGGACTCGTTGCGACTCGTCACCGACCAAACAAGGCCATCGACTTCACAAGTACAAGCAGCTTTGGGCCAGTGGCAAAGCGCTCTCGAGGGGCTCATGGATCAGCAGAACGCTTATCTGGTGCGTCAGACTTCACTCTAAATGCTGCCACCACGTTAATCCTGGGCTTTTCTCGCTTGCTTTCAGGAGAGCATTGCTCGCTGGGCAGAAGATGACGCTCCAATTCGCGATGCGCCTCGGCTCCCGAACATTGCTCCGATGCCGAATGCACCCGAGGTCGATCTTCGCATCATCGCTGAGCAACTTGCATCTTTGCATCTAGCTGCCAAGCACAAAGCTACAAGCTTCGATTAATTATCGATTTTTTTTTTTTAAATCAGAGCCTGTCCAAGTCTTCGGCGACTTTTGCACCGCCGGCTATTCCGAGCTTTTTTTACTGGGAAGTGTATAGTCGTGTAGAATCATTGGCGAGAGGCATTCTGGTGTTCGATCATCAGCCGTTTTTCCTCCAAAATTTCCCGGGCCATGTTTCGCCCTTTGAAAAATGTGCTTTCAATTCCTAAGAGCTTTTTAGCTGTTTTTCGTGCAGTTGTTTGTCACGAATCCGTTCTGTTTGGATGTATTACATATTTGGGGTTATTGAAATATATTCACGACGCGTGCCGTCAGTTTTTTGTTCGAATTCCAGAAGCTGGTGTTCATTTGCGAAACATTCGAATAAAATAAGGTTTGTTTGCCGGATAAAGGAAGAACTCTCTTGCTTGATTCTCAGATTTTCTGGTGTGCATGATGAGGATATGGGGAAAAAAGAAGAATGTCTCTGTCATATGGACCGAGACTTTGCAAGGTCATGGAAGCGGGAAACCAGACCAGAGGTCAAGTGGCTCGATTTCGGAGGCTTGAAGGTAGAAACAAGACTTCCGCGTCGCAGCATGTTCAACCTGCTGGTTACCCGTGGGAAATACCTGGATAAGCGGATGCGCCCAGCACATGCATTTACTTGAATGTTATGTCGTGGGCATAAGCTGACCCCCGTTTGTCCTGCTTAGACGTCGCTGGGCCCCAGTTCACAGCCTGGTGCATCAGTATGCGCGTCTGGGGGATTCTGACGCCAACTTCTTTCTCACATGCAGGGACGAATTCAATTTTCCCCCTCTAGGCCTGAGCTGATCCCTGCCCTCCGGCTCGTGCAATTTATCTTTCAGGCAAGAAATGGCAAGAAAAAGTTCAAATTTCCATGGTCTGTCACGTTAATGAATATCATCACTTTAATGATGAGGCATTGTATATATAATATACAGCATATGCAATTCTTCATATGAAAAATACAGAATACGCAGGAGACATTAATATTTCGTTAAAACTGCGGCCCGGATAATGAAGTACTGGATCAGAAATCTCTAGAAAATAAGGCCACTTTTTTTTTAATGCTGGGCGGTTCAAAATTCAAAAGTGGGTATTTGAACACATGAGCTCACTGTAAAAAATCTCTGACGAAGAGCTTCCGTGTGAAACCAAAATTAAATTCCCTGGATCTATATTTTCAACAAAATTCCTGGTCGAAAATGATACATAAGCATTGAAAAAATATTATGAGCCGCCCTTGAAAAAAAAAAATTTTGAGCTTGAGGCAGGTGAAATTCGAAGAACGAGCCCAGCTTCAAAATGGACTTCTCATTTTCTTGGAAAAGATTGGTGGGTTATTAAAGATTTTTAAAAAAACTTCCAGGATTTTCATGCTACACCAGGTGAACAAAAATGACTGCTCGAGAAAAAGAGTCAAATGCTGGCATTCCATGAATTTAGTCATAGTGTTAGAAGTGCGTTGTTGAAAGGGTGCATGCGTGTCAATTGTGCTGATTTAATCTTGTCTGGATTCTATTAAGCTAACACTGTGCAGGTAGAAGACTCTTCCTCACACAGGGGAAGAGGATTAATTCTTATTTCTGACTATGATTGATTTTATGTGATAAAATATCTAATTGGGATATTCAATAAAGCTAATAGGGAAAATTAGCACTCGGGATTTAAAATGAGTCACCGGAAATTTTATATCTTCGGCATTTAAATCATAAAAATAGAAGAAAAAAAAACGGAGGAGAAAACCTTCAAATTGCAGCTAAGTGCAGCTCGTAGGCCGTGCACTCAGAAGCTTTTATGATGGTAGGCACAGTTTTCATTGCAAAAATCTCCAGCGAGAATGATTTACACTCTTACGACTTTTTTAATTGACGCATCGACTAAAGGAATAAAAACGCAGATTTCACGAATAGGGGTATGCAGAACCCGGAGCTGTCCCCCGTGTCACGGAATCCGACTGGAATTCATCTTCGGGCTGTGAAAAGTTCTCTTCCGCCAGCTAACCCCAAAGAGATGAGATTTTGGTCTTTCGAACTCGTTAGATCTCCGACCTCCGGTGCAGAAGAGGAGAATGCTATTTCTAGAATTGTCGTCGGAACATTATCTTATTTTTCCACTTAGCTAGATGCAATCTCTGGCCGGTTGCAGCTGCGGAAGTTCATTTCCCGGTTACCTCAGCAAAGAATGTCATTCAACCACTTTCCACAGGAATAAGCATGCAGTTTACCCCCATCTTGCAGCCCGAAAACCAAAAAATCCTGCCTTATAGCATTTCTGAACTCTGAGTGACTTTTATTTTTTATTTTTGTAATGTCAGGGCATTCGTTAGGAATAAATTAGAATCGTCAAGGATTCTGCGGAACTAACGAACCGATTCAGGCAGCGCTTTAAGAAGGAGATTCGGAAGACATTCATTCGGCACTCTGAAAAAATATATTAATAGGGGCCCTCATCAAGGAGCCCAGAATCTTGAGCGAATTCTTCCATTACTGTATATGAAATTCAGATTGAAGACAATGGCTGACGCATAATTCATTTTTCAATATTGCTGCATTTGAACAATCAAATTTTCGAAGCATATTGAGCATCTCCGTGTGGTGATCAGGTAAAATTGAGTTTATCGCATAATCCTGGCAATCTAATTGACTTTACGTCTTGAAAAAAAAATTTAATTTCTTGAACTCAATGCTTTCCAGGCACAATCTGATCGGGACATCGGGAAAAATATTGTGTCATGTTTTTCAGAAGAGTTTTACTCCTTCAAAAAGTTCGCGATACTTGAAAAACAGCTCATCCGGAGGGATTCAGAAATAATCGAAATTTGTGAATCGCAATGTTCATGGGATATTTTGATGCAAAATTCTGACGCGCAACCCAATATCTAATGAGGATGACCTGAGAAGCAGTGCATTCGCATTTTATTTTTAAAATTCAGTTGTATTTGTAAAGGATATTGTAATATTTTATTAGTTCATTGGAATATGCTTCATGCTTCAGAGTGTTTAAAAACAAGATTCTTTCATTGCGGACTCAACATCAAGTCTGGAACTAAACCTAATTATTCTCTCCCATAATCGTGGAAAGTGCTGGGTACTATAGTCCAACGTTCCCCAATAACATTTTTGTACCCGCGGACTTGCAAATTTCCATACAATTTTCAGGTGGACTGGCAAATTCCCAAAAATTTTCTGCCGACTGGTGAAGTTTCATAAAATTTTTACAGACTGGAAAACATTTTGCCTGATAGACTTTATGGCAGGTATATAAAAGTTATTGCTTCTCGCAATAATCAAGTTGAACTTATAAAGCAGCTATGGCTGAATATCATCAAAAATCGGAAAGGTGAACATTAAAAAAATTATTTCAGAAGGTAAAATTGTGTCTGAAGCACTGTTATTAGGATAAAAGCCAACTTCCATGTTTCATCAAATGCTTTCAATGTCTTTCGAAAGTTTCAGATAATTATTACAAAAATTATTGCTACTTTCAATAAGTCTTATGCTGAAAATTTCCCGGAGACCCGCAAAAAACTTCTGCGGACCGGTGTGGCAGTCAGGAGCGTCCGCCGTCCGGACTGTCCGGCCGGACAGTCCCGCCTAGTCAGGACCGTCCGGTTGGACATTCCTGCCGCTGTCAGGACTGTCCGGGCCCCAGTCAGGAGCGTCCGGCCCCCAGTCAGGAGCATCCGGTCCCCAGTCAGGGATGTCCGGGTATAAAAAAAAAATCCCTGTGCAACTTCTTCTGAATTTGGTCTGGTAAAAGACTT